CAGCATGGTCCAAGCAAATTATTTTCTTGAAAGTTGTTTTTGAATGGAGTCGTGTACCAGTGCGCTGTAGTTTTTTCTTGTAGGCTAACATTGTGAATCCATTAGTAAAATGTATTAAAGCGTGAAAATGTTCATGTGCTGTACTACCATCGTCTGCTATTAGATGACATTGACAAATAAAATACCATTTAATATTTGGAGCACAAGCAAGTAAATTAAAGTCATATTCATTTAATATTAAGTGATACCATTCTTTATAAAATTCTTCGTAATGTTGTGCCATTTCTTGTGGCGACAATGCGTTAATTTCATTTAGATTCAAGAGAGTCAAATAATCAGTTTTTGATAATGAAGACATTTTTTTTGTTATTTTTAGAGAAAATGTCTCAGTAGACTGAAAGAGTCTTTAATGTCGCAATACTTTAAACAAATAATTAATTACCCCGCCACCAAGATTTTTGCGCATGCGCAGTAGTACAAATGTGCACTTTTCTGGCGCGTCCAATTAGTTGATTTCATTCCGAAGAATGTTTTAGTACATATACCGGCCACCAGATTAATGGCGTCATGATTTTGGTTTGGCTGGCAATATTAGGAACATGGCAATAATTGTTATAGTAGTTGAGTTGAATATAATCTATTCGTTTTAAATAATAATATAAACCAAATAAAAAACAGCGATATTGGCTTGTCAAAGTTTGAACCGAAATTACAAACTCTAAAATTACTGGAAAAAATTAAACACTGATTTTAAATTATCACGAGCCGCCACTGGTAGAGAGTATGGCAGATATAGGTGAAATTTTCTTTTCGGGAAATGAAAAAAATAATCACATAAAAATGTTCAATTAACAATTATTACAAGTATCTTAAAAGGCAGTTTTACCATTCTTAATACCAAACATGATAAGATCATCGCAAACAGTGTTATAATTATTTATTGAAATAACAAAGTAATTTCCTCGTTCATTCCACTCATTCTACCTAGTTAGTGACGATAAACTGTTATCTACCTAACCGGAGCTTGATATATACGGCCGAGAAAATTTGAGATGTATGAAGCATCGTCGATATATATTTTGTATGCAAAGCTTCTAGTCAAGCATTCGAGTCGTCCCTTGATGAAAAACGACAAAGTCGAGAGTTGCCACACAGTTACGAGATACGACGTTAACGGTGCCGGTGTACGGAGGCTTAATCACTGTCTACTAATACGAATATTATTCATATTCGTCTTCATTTTCCATGGATTACGTTTGCGGAATCTATACATTTTCACGTCTTGTGAGCCGTATTGGTTTTGATTCTGTTGGATTTATGAACCATCTAGAAAAATCATAATTACATTTCAGAAAATTAACGTCTAAGTCAAATTTGCCAAAGATGCAGCTTTCGCCGAAAAATGCTCTTGATTACAGGCGGACACAATAGGACACAATAGGACACAATAGGACACAATAGGACACAATAGGACACAATAGGACACAATAGGACACAATAGGACACAATAGGACACAATAGGACACAATAGGACACAATAGGACACAATAGGACACAATAGGACACAATAGGTCACATGTAGTTAGTTTCGAGTATCAGAATAGCTGACCAAACACCTATCAATATAATTAAAGAAAGTAAAAAATTCCTGTTGGGAACTGCGGCAGAATATATGCATTAAAATCAAAAAAAATATGTCCAGCATACGGCTCCACACGCGATTCATGCGGAAAATCTAACCATTGGAGCTAAATGAGCAGATCAACACAAAGAGAATGGTCCAGTTCAAGGTTAAATTCCAGAAGTGATAAACGTTATAGTAATCAGATCTGTTGAACTTATAGCCTTGTTACTGAAGAAACCAATAAATAATTTCAACAGGAAATAGGAAGTTTTTATTCAGAAATAACTACAGCGAAAATATATCCATAAACCTGACTGACTTTTTATAAAAAACTTAAAACTGACAAGACACATTTTATATACAGTATAATAATATAAATCAAATGTAATTTTGCAACTTCAACATTTCCTCCAAAAATTAACATTAAATCAATTTTATTATTTCAGGGTAACTAACCCTAACATTTTTCTCATTTCAAAAAATATTTCCATTGGAATAGCCTTTGTCATCACATCAGCAACCTGGTTTAAACTTCTAATATGATGAAGGTCTATAAGATGATCCTTATACTTTTCTCGAATAAAGTGGTATATGATCTCGATGTGCTTCTGCGGGATTCTTATTAATTTTATTATACTAGCATTATCTATGTACAAAGTTGATCGAATGTTTGAATAACTTCCTCCGATTTCTTTTAACAACGTATGAAGCCATAATAATTCTTTGTAACTTCACCAGCGGCTATGTTCTCTGCTTCTGTGGTCGAAAGAGAGGTACTTTTCTGCTTTTGAGTAAACCACTTTATAGCACAGCCCGAAAACTTTCCAACCACACCAGTTCGCGAACGTCTAGTTTCCGGATCACCCCCGTAATCTGCATCACTAAAGATATTTAAAATATTCTGTTCTTATGAATTTGCTTTATAAAACAATCCTAAATCAATAGTGCCACGTAAATACCGAAATAATCGTTTAATTGCACGCCAATTAGATATTTTAGGCGAATTAAGTCTCTCGAATAAAACACGCCATACGCTATATCTGAATGTGATGCAACCATTAAAAACATCAGACTTCCAATAGCCTTACGGTAAGGTCAATTTTCATTCACATCTTCATCAGAAATAGATATATTTTTAATTTCGCAAGGAGTATTTGTAAACTGAGAAAACTATCAAATGAGCCCATAGCAATTAAGTCGTTTGTGCAAGCCACGAGTCCATCATCCACGTAAATGTCTACAATTAATATCTGGTTATTCTTCTAACGTAGAAACAAACATATTGATCAGCTGAACAATAGTTCAGCTGATCAATATGTATGTAAATATATCATTTCTTCATTTCTAATGAAATCTACAAACCGTTTGTTCCAACATCGTGGAGACTGTTTTAAACCATACAAGTTACGTTTCAGTTTACACACTCTTCCTGTATGATCATCAAGACTCTCTGGCTGCTTCATATAAATTTCCTCCAGCAGCTGACTATACAAAAACGATGTCTTCACGTCAAATTTTAACAGATTTAGATGCAGCTACACTAAGGACTGTTTTGACTGTATCATATCTTACCACATGACTAAAGGTTTCATCATAATCTATTCAAAATTTCTGGCTATAACCTTTTGACACCAATCTAGCTTTGTAGCGGCTAATACTTCCATCTGCGTTTATTTTATTTTAAATGCCCACTTACTTTGCAAAGTTAGTAGGTCCCAGGTATCATTTTCAGTCAAAGAATCCATTTCTCCTTTCATGACTGTTTCCCACTGTTCTTCTTCAGTAGACTAAATTGCTGCAGAATAAGAGTTGGGAGCTTCATACTCAGCAAAGAGTAAATAGTCATCAATAGAAATTAAAAGTTGATTCTTACTACGAAGATTGTAATGGTGGTGTTCAATATTGTCCAAATCATGATTCTTGGACTTGGACTCAAACGCATCAGACCCATATTGTATTGTTACTATGTCACTTTCGTTCTTCTTGTCTAATTCAACATTTTCATTAGTATTTTCTCGCAAAATGTTATCTATTACTCTCTTCTCTAAAATACTTTCTTGTGTAAAAATTACATCTCTACTGATAATTACCTTATTTTCGTCAGGCAACCAAATACTGTAACTGTCATTGTCACCACAGTATCCAACAAGAAAACCTCCTACACTTTTCTTGTCAAGCTTCGACACTGTTTAGGTATATGTACAAAACATCTTGTTCCAAGTATTCGCAAGTAATCAATTTTAACAATATCACTTTGCCACAGCTCAATTGAAGATTTATTCGTTACTGGTCCTGTTCTGTCAAGAACAAATTCAGCTTTATTTATACCCTTTGGTTGCCTTTGATAGGCAACTTCTTTCTTTGGTATATAACATGGTTCTTACGCATTCTACAAGAGTCCTATCTTCGCGTACCGCTGCGCCGTTTTGTTGAGGCGAATATAGCATAGCGACTCTAAAATGTATTCCATAAGATTGAAGAACTGCTTTCACCTCTGCGTTAACAAATTCTTTTCCTCTATCACTCAGGAACTCTTTATTTGTTTTATTTACTGTCTCGGCTTCTTTTAAAAAGGTTAAAAGGCAGTACCTTAGACTTTATTTTAATGAAGAACACCTTACGAAATTTTAAGAAGTTATTCTTGAAAACAATGTAGTAGCTCCACCCAAAGATAGCTCTTGCATGGGCCCGCAAACGTCTGCATTAATCAGATTACCTGCCTTCGTAGGTAGAGACATACGTTCTTTAAATGGCAACCTATGCTGTTTACCCAAAATACACCCTTCACAGTAATCATCAGCTATCAATCATGCTTACAAACTGCACTGGTTTTATAAGCTTTTTCCAGTCCAATACGAGTAGAATTTTGACAATGGTTCCAAAATAATCTAAACAATGAAGATATCATTAGATGAGTCATGGTTTAATCTTTCTGGATTTGTTAATTCACAAAAATAACGTGCTATGCATCCTAATTTTTTGTTGAAGAACCATTTCATCCACAAATAGTTGGTAATTGGATTGAAATATTATGTAGAAGAAGATTAATGGGTCCTATTTTTTAAGGTATACTTACTTCTGCACTAAAGGAATTACAAAATGGGTATGTCCATAAAGATGGTGCAACAACAAATGCAATCACATAAACACTTCCATGTCTTGAAGAATCTTTTAACGACTAAATAATAAGCAGGAACACTGAACTCGATTTTAAATAAATTATTTATTTCGTTTTTGTTGCATTATCATTTCGAAATAATAAACTTTGTTTACAATAAAAACATAATTCTGTGGAAGTGACTAAAGAACCGAAATTATGATTTTCGAGAGGGTTCGTTATTTATGTCAAACTTAACGCCTACTTCGTTTCTTCTAGTTGCTTGGTCGGAGTATTTAAGAAACAGCAGCGATTCTTGGGAAACGATCTTCCAATGTAAACCATGCGCTCCAGGATGCCATTTCTGTAAAGATGAATCACCGTGCTTAGCTACATATCATTGGCCGTTCAGGTGAACCAGAATTGTATTAACCTTTAGAAATACCGAATAATAAAAATGATTTCTTTAATTTTTAGGATGGCTTTGTTAACATTTTCAATCGTTTGTGTGATCTGGACCATAATTTTAATTATCTACATGTACAAACACAGAAAACTGAAAGTCTTCAAAGTAGCCAGTCCCATCTTCCTTAGTATTACCCTCTTAGGCTGTGCTACCATGTATTTAGAGGTAAGAGTCAATTAGTTTCCTCTAGTTAAAACTACAATTTTGTCTTTTTCCAGATGGCTGCAATCTTTCCAATTCTAGATCAGTATTCTTGCATAGCTACCAAATGGGCGAGGCATTTGGGATTTTGTGTCACTTATACAGCTCTTTTAATGAAAACCTGGAGGTAAATTTATTTCCGCAGATTTAGCTCTACTTAATTTATATTTTTTTTACAGGGTGTCATTAACGTACCGCGTAAAATCCGCTCATAAAGTAAAATTGACTGACAAGCAACTGCTACAATGGATGGTGCCTATTTTGTTGGTTATGTTGATATATTTGGGTACGTGGACCTTATCAGATACGCCGAACGCTGAAGACATCGTTGATAACAATGATTTAAGGTTCAAACAATGCGTGTACAATTGGTGGGATCATAGTTTGGCCATAGGTAAGTCTTTGGGTTTTAATACTAATAGACATTTTTCTATCTTATTAGTATAAATGTAACCAATTTGGTAGCTTAACCTTAAAACATGCCATCAAGTTCTGTTGTTCAAGAATATACCATACAGCCAGCAATATATGTTATAATAAATTTTGTAAATTCCGATTGTAACCACGATTGGCTATTTGACGAATTTGTAAACACAATATGGCGTCTCCCTACCTTCTACCTCCATCTAATAACTCGATGGAATGTTTTAAGGTTATGTTATCAAAGTGGTGTGATGTCCTTACAATAAAACTACTTATCTTTTAAAAAGAAAATGTTATAATTGTTATAAAATATTTGTAGGTGAAGTATTATTTTTGGCGTGGGGTATCAGAGTTTGCTACAACGTACGAAATGCTGAATCTTTGTACAATGAAGCGAGGTTGATCAGTTACGCCATCTACAACATCGCCATCGTCAACATCATGATGATCGCCTTTCAGTAAGTAAAGAACATTTATTATACTAATACTGTACTAAATATCGGTAATTATGGGTTTTGTTACCAATTTGGGACGGAACTGATGTTTAAATTGAGTTTTTTATGAAAAAAATTATCATCTATTTTGAGTATGCTACTGATGCTTAAAACTATTGTATTTCCCATCTACTATAGTCAACTAAGTAACGTGTTCGAACGTGTCGAACACAAAGCCAAATATTTGTTTACACTAATATGCTTATTTATTTTACAACTAATTTATTTCTTCTTAATACTCATATCAAATTCACTTAAATACTAATTTATGTGGCCATTTACTCTGCTCACGGCATTGTCTCAACTTGAACTGACTCATATTGTAAAACAATCCTATTTATATATACAAATGTAACGATCCAGACTTGTTTTCAAATTTCTTCACCATTTCTTACACTGACCAATCTAGTACATTTGCCATTTTCTCCACTACACCCGAATATTTAGGAATTTCTGCAGGATTTCAGTACTTTCAAGAACGAATACTTTATCACAACCGACGATGCCATAGTCGTCCCTTAGGGCGGTTTTAAAGGTTTAATCGCTTCATCTAATATTTTTGGTAATCGTGAAAGTTGAGGTTGTAAGAAGGGATAAAAGCAGGACCAAACTGGTCAAAAATGGCTTACACAATAATTTATTCAAATTTGTGAATTTTTGTCTAGGAAAACAATATTTCTGTCGTTCAATATCGGTTATACGGTTATTAATTGACTGATAATTGTAGTGCGGACGTGTGGCAACATGAATCTTTGTTAATACAATAATTCCGTAATGATTGATGATTTGATGGCGTTTCTGGGTCACCATTCCCTATTCTATTGCGTATCTCGTTAACTGTATATCGATCATCGAACATGTTTACTTGCCTGAAAACAGCAATAATTAAATGCATTTTACATTACACTAATTTGCAAAATTGAGAAATAATGTACTTACCAGATTCGATTAATTAATTTTTGCTGAAATTTTATTAAATTTATTTACGTATCTATACACGAAAAATACCCTTAATACAAAAATCGAAGACAGTTTAAAGTAAAAATAAATATATGTTTTTCAAGATGTTTTATTTAATAAAAAAATTGACAATTTCAAATTACTATGCACTTTTTTCCGATAAACAAATAAGATGTACACTTTAACTAAAATGAAACATTATTTTTAGTTTGTTTATATTCCCAAGAGCTGGACCAGACATCAAATATTTGCTGGGTTTCATCAGAACGCAGCTATCTACAAGTACAACAATAGCGTTGGTGTTTGGACCAAAGGTACTTCTTTTAAAATATCTAATTACTTTACCTCTAAACATTGAGATGACTGAATTGAACTGTTTTATTAAAACACAAAATGTATTTGATTTTTAGATTATAAGAGTGTTGAGAGGACAAGGCGATCAGTGGGACAACAGAGCTAGGTCGCGTGGTGTGACGGCTTCGTTTTCTTTAAACGGTATTGGTCTGGTTCCTGAAGAGGCTCCGGATCTCTTCCAAGAGAACGAAGAACTCAAGGTAATCCTATTTTTTAATTGGTTTTGAAAGTTTTATTATGAAGACTAGAGAAATGAAGTTTATTATCTTCTTTCTTTATCAATATTACAATTGTAAATAAATACATTATTTTACTAAGATTAAAGAGCTTTAAAAATAGCTTCGATTAATTTCACAAAGATATTTTCTTCGGCTTTATATCTGTAAAATATCTCGTCATTTTTTATAATTTACAAAAAAAATTAGAGTGATTTACTAATGACCCGTTACCTACACTAGAACCTCACAAGTAAATTTGAAATTTGTCCATTTGTCAACATTTAAATTACAAAGGAACATTTGGCGCCCAACGTGGGTCCTGATCCTACTACCCTGAGATTAAAACTCTCATACACTTTACTAGTAAATAAAGATATATAATAATAATATTATAGAAGATAAATTATGAAAATCAAGATAAATAATGTACACACATAAACACGAAATGCTAGATAATATAGTTCAAAGTCAACTTTTTAAGACTGAATTTAAGAAAAAGTAAACATGTTCAAACAAATTAAAATATTACTCAAGTTCGATAACTATATAGATAAAGAATTAATTATAAATGGAAGAAATTCAAAATCTAAAGAAAATGTAGAATTTAATTTACTAAATTTAATAAAAAGTAGGTAAAGACATTGAATAAATCACTGCACTAAGATTCAAATAGTAAGAAAAAATTATAAATATATTTCTCTACACTCTCCTAATATGGTAAATACAAACTGACGTCTCAGTTTCAAAAACTTGTACAGAATCATATTAATAACTGATAAATACAGTGTTAAGCAAGGAAACGAAAAGAAAATAAAAAACAAATTCATTAATATAATTCGGACACTCTCCTAAATTGGTAATTGCAAACTAGATAGTTTCAAATACTTATCCAAAATTATACTTACAAATAAAGAGAAATGTAAAGAGAAAATTATATTAACTAGGAAATTAGGTAGAAATTTTTTAATAAAAAAATACTATTAGTAACTGAATATATATTACCAAAAATTAAGGTAGCTATTACAGACATTATTGCTTTAAAAAATAAGCAGTAGCAGACAGTTAAAAGTTAGAAAGTAATGTCTGGTCTGACTCATAAATATTCCAATGGTGTAAAAGGAAAAAATTGACTACAGGTGGTATTACTTGGTCGTGTAGGTAATAGCAGAATAGTAAAAATTCAGATATTAATCTTTACTATTCTGGCCTGACATTATTTATGAAAATTTAGCAATATTTTAACTTAAAAGGAACGGTATGGAAATCAAGGAAATTACAGAATATTTTATTCATTGTCAGAAGTATCATTATTAACGTTAGGTATGACTTTATTATCATCATCCTCAGATAAATCATTATCAACATCAACGAAACTTTTTTTTAAATCAAAGACATGGTAATTACCTAAGTCTTTTCCATCTAAGTCTTTAATATTATACACTAGTTTAGAGAGAACCTTATGTACTGTACACGGAGTGCATTTAGGTACAAACTTAGCATTAAAATTATTAATTTTAGATGATAAGACGAAATTCTTTTTCCATAATCTATCACCAACATCTCTTTTTCTTAAATTATAATATTTACAATTTCTATCATAGGCTGATTTAAATTTTTGCCTAACATCCATAAACAATTTAGGTAAATTTTGTGTGTCATCGATACGTTGTAATTTTTCAAATACTGACGGAATATTATTAGAATTATTTGAAATTAAACCATAAAAATCTCCAGAAAAGAGAACGTTACGAGCAAAATTAAGGAAGGATGGAGAATACCCTGTGACTTCATGTCTGGCTGTATTTATGGATTGAACTACTCTAGGCAAAAATATATCCCAAGAACGATGATTATCATGTATATAACAGCGAAGTGCTGAGACAATTGTCTTATTGGTTCTTTCACTATGATTAGCTTGAGGATGATAAACAGGATTGTAAATTATTTTCTAAACTTTGTATTTGTCCATCAAAGCTTTAAATTCTTTAGAAACAAAAACACTTCCATTGTATGTAGAAACAATTTGACAAATATGTTAAAGATATGTGTTTCTATAAATTTAGTTATACTAGCTGCAGTAGCTTTAGACATAGGATGAGCAAAACAAAACTTAGTAAACCAATCTGTTATTATAAGAGCATATTTGTTTTTATTCTTTGTTCTAGGATATGGTCCGATAATGTCCATTGATAACGATTGAAAAGAATGATTAATATTTTTATAATTACCCATAATACCAGCTTTAGGTTCATTCGTGCTTTTACAAGACGAAAAGATATTACATTTTTTAATATACCATACATCTTTCCTTAAATTTGGCCAGTAATAAATTTCTGAAATACGAGTTTTGGAAATACCATGATATCATGATAAGTTTTAAGAATTTCAGAACGATTCTTATTAGGTAAAACAATTTTCCAATTAGTTAAATTGGATATCAAAGGATTGTGAGAAAAAATATGTTTATACAAGATTCTATTTTCAACTTTGAAAGAGGGATATTTTTCAGGACATGAATCAACTTTATGTAACATAGATTTATACCATTTGTCAGGTTTAAATTCTGCAACATCTAAGATAGAAATCTCATTAACTAAACGACTTAAAGATTCACTCACTGTCATAGAACAACCTTTCCTATGCTTAATAGTAAAATCAAATTGGGATAAACCTCAGATAAATAAATAATAATAGATAACTGAATGTCAAAAATTTACATTGCGTTTGTTTGAAAGCAACATATACAAGCCAGTTGTTAGGAGGGGAAGAGCGTGGTTTGTTTACTTTTATTATTCAGTAGCGTATCAAATAAATGTCAATAGAAATGCTTTTGATTTATATTATTTTATTAGTTTTGAGATATTTCAATGGGTCAATGTTTCTAATATGAGATGTTTATGGAAAACCGTCAATAATGAATTTTTCAGTCGACCAATACATATATTTTTTAAATTAAAAACATACATTATTTTTATACACAAATAACTTGAATAAACGTTGCAAATGATAGGTTTTATAAATTCTAAATTTTTGTACTAATATTTTTTAATAATATCGATTCTTTTGTAAATTATTTTTATTGATTTATTATGAGTACCGCTTATATATGTAATAAAAAATAGAATAATGTATCTGTTTATTGTTAGTCCCTTTTAAGTTAATTAAATTTTGTTCACAAAATATTTATGGTTTTTAATAATTGGGAAAGTAGGGTTAAAAAAACAATTTTTTTAATAGGTATGTAATTCATTTTATTAAATAGTTGGGTTAGATCTGGAAAACAAAACAAAGACAAATCTTATAATAACAGTTTAGAATAAAGCGATACTTATGTAATAACTGATAAGTTCATAATTACCGTTTTAAAATATTGCCAAGGTTTTCTAATACACAATATTTTGAATGATAAACTCAAACATTTTGGCTTTTAAAACTTAATTTCGATGAATTTTGTCAGATAGAAATAGAACAACGTTAAGCAATTTTTTAGAGACGTTGTGTTATTGTACTCATTTGGTTAAATAACAATTAATAATGGATAATGGGGTGATGATAATAATAATAATTTAGTTGCCAACAATTTTCCTTTCAAATAATTTAAAAATCAAATAATTATGTGACAGGTACCTAGATAACTAAAACTAATATTCGTTAACTACAGATAAATAAAACCCAACAATTTTCCTACCACACAATTTACAAATTAAATTAATTATGAGACGTGATAATAAGTAAATATAATATACATTCACTTGAGATGTTGTTGGGAACGGGGTGTTAATACACTGCGACCTAAAATATCTATTGTGCCCCCTTCTGTCGCTAATGCACCAAGGAAATGTCTCAATGCCTATAACGACCCTTCCAATCCTATCTTCTCAAGGAAGTGTAGGATTTGGAGTGGCTTCGTGTTAGGTAAATCTCTCTCTCTTTTATATTTGATATCCTCCTACTAGGTATGGTGCCCTTGGATTCTGGAGTACTACAGATTCAGTTAGAATGTGAATGGAGGTTTCGTCCTCCTTCTCACAGAATCTGCACTCACTATCCTCTACTACTCTCAGTTTACTAAGGTGTCCTTTTAGTCGATAATGCCCGGTAAGGAACCCTGTTACAATACGAAGCCTGTTCTTGCTCAGGCAGATGTAGGCTGTGATTTATGCCTTATTTATGCACTACTCAATATAACAACACCTTGTTGTAAGCTTTTATTCTCTAGTATTCTGATAAACACAGTAATTCAGTAATGGTTATAATACAAGACAAAACTCAAAATGAAATACAAACTTGTAATGCGAGACAATGCGCATCTGACTCTTATTAAGTACTCGTGGCGGCATCTACGTACGATCTATAATCCTACGGGGTCACAGACTACAGATGACTGTGATATTAGGAGAAACACTTATATGAAGCTGAAACATAGATGGCCTTACGGGTACTAACATTACTATTTATAAATGGGTATACAGATCTCACACAGGCTTATGATGTTTTCTGGTTATATTCATCATTTACCCAGAAGTATCTTAGCCTGTCTTAGCCGTAAGAGATTGATCCAATTATCGGTTCTTCTACTGCCCAATTCTTATTTAATCTCGTCGTGGACGTTTGAACGAGAAAAAATGTGACCATCGCCTTTCAAGGGGATGCTTTAGATGTTCTTCAGACTGTACCTGTGGAAAAAACGGATGACTTTGAAAGACTTAAAGGATCGTAAGCAGAATCGAGACAAGTCTCCAAGAATACGAATTAGATATTTCCAGGATGATGCGATACTGGCAACCATTTTCCTACTACACAATTTACAAATTAAATTAATTATGTGACGTGTAACTATAATAAGTAAATATAATATACATTCACTTGAGATAAATGAAACCTTTTTTAATTTAGACAATAAGAAAACATATCATAATAATTACATATATATATATATATATATATATATATATATATATATATTATTGTGTTATTAAAATAACATGAATAGGTAATTAAAAAATTACAAAATTTATTGGTTCCCCTACTACTACTTAGAATATTCAAATTAATTAGACATAGACAAAAAAACATTTTTATTATTTATAGTTTTTGTTCAAATACTCACTTAGTTTCAGATGTAGAAGGTTTAGAATGTGACAGTTTCCAGTTGAGGAACAGCTTCAGGATGTGAGTAAAATAAGGGCATTACTCCTTTCATTAAAAACATTTTTCCTCCTGGAGACTTAGCAAAGGCAGAATCCTCAAAATGTCTTGAACAAAATCTACTGAATACACTCTTCATCCTCACGTATACCCAAACTCTTCATCCACATATATCTAGTTTGAGGATCTTTTGGAAACCTAAATAGGTATAAATAGTGTTTTCTTATTCATATAGGTAGGTAGGATTTCATATGTAATACAGAATGCAACATAGTATACTTTAAAATAACTATGGTGTTCTAACAATATATTTTGTCATTAAAATAAAGCAACACTAAGATTTTATAACTAAAGTGAATGCCACTAGAGCCTTCTTAAATGTACAGTGTGCATAACAATACAACTTTAATTTAAAGATAGCCTATTAATAAATTCAAAGTTATTAAACACAGGCACAATAAAATATTTCGAAATTCGACGTTGAATGTTATTTTAAACTTTAAAATAAATTTTTGTTGTTTAAACCTTATTTTGAATTATGATACCCCTCAAAAAAGTGTGATGCAGCGGTAATGATTTTTATTTACTTACCTATGAAACGTTATCGAACTGAACTTGAGATACTTTCTCGAGCACACAATACAATTCACTGGCATTTTTAAGCAATTAAATGCACCAAAATAACTTAAACCACAAAAATGTTTCAATTAAAGTACGAAATAAACTCAAAATGAACTACAAAATAACAATAAAATAACTAACCTAACTAACGTATTCCTGTCAATTTTTTGCTAACCAATCAGCTGTGTAACCAAAATAGCGAATATCCAATCAAGTCGTGTAACCACTGCTATATAGTGAGAGGAGATGCTGGTTACAAATATTGCATGATAGGGCTGTATCTATTATTTATTTATTTATCTGAGGGATAAACGGAGAGCCAACCGAGCTAAACGATCAGAAGGATTGGACAATTTATAAAGATATTGTAAGGAAGAATGATCCGTTTCTAAAAGGAAGTGTGTACCTTCAACATAACACCGAAATTTTTCAACTCCAAAAATACATCCAAGTAATTCTCTTTCAGTAGTGGATAATTTTCTTTCACAAGTCGTTAAGCTACGACTAGCATAAGCAATTGGGTGTTCAAGACCATCACATTCTTGATATAAGATAGCACCAATTCCGGTTTCACGATATGAAAAGGAAAAATCTTATTTAATACATTTAAACATAGTAAAGCATAATATCTTATCCAAAAAAAAATAATATATAAATTATCCATGTGTTATCCAGTGTTAATATTGAGGTTATGTTTGGAACTTGACAATTATTTAAGAAATCCTTGTATAAAATATATATTTTCAACAATATATTAGTATTAAAACTTACCTTATAAAATTAAACGGATTTTACGATAGATTAAAATCATTTAGTACATCGGATGCACAAGATATATTGAAATTCAAATCAACTTGATTCGTTGACATCCAAGTCAAAAATAATTCTCACAATAAGAATCAAGGCAGAAGAAAACGACAAATGACATTTGAGTAGAGGTCATTGTGTCAAAATAAAGAATAACGATTCCAACCGTTACAAAATCCTTATCTCTAGTCTTCATATATATTTTATATAATTCACATTCTCACACTTTTATACAGGAAGAAATACAAAAACTAGCAGCCCAAATAGAATTCATGAAAATCGTCCATATGGAGAGCAACAACCGGCACGTCAAACCAAAAAGCGGGGGCTACTTTTCGGCCCAAAACGCCCCCAACGTAGTCCACAGTCCTCTTACCAAACAAGGCTACATCCTCGGCCAGCCGGCCAGACCTCCGGAAGAACTGTGACAATGTCTGACTCTAAAAACTCTGGCAAGCATCAAGGCCAATGCCGGAATCCAAGAGGTAGCCGGAGCCGTGAAGGAACCGCTTGAAGGAGGGGTGGAGTGGTTCAGACGTAGCCTTAAAGGGAAAGGGAAGGTTTGCCTGCAGGGGCAAAGCGTGCTTCTATAGGAATCTGAAATTAAGATAGCAGCGCCACCTATATACTACTTATTTATACAATATTACAAAGGACTGACAAATGTTTAAATGTGTGAAGAAGATATCTATAAAAAATTCAAAAATTTGCAACTGCTTTTTATGAAAACGTTACTAATAATGCACTCAAGGTCACACTAATGTTTAAATAAGTAGGTCCGTTTTTTAACAACTGGTGGTGGCATACAAGGGGGCTCCGGGGGAGGGATCATGAGATGAAAATTCTTACAATTTTACAAATTTATTTAAACAGTGTCACAATAATGTTTAAATAAGTAGGTATGTTTTTTTAACAACTGGTAGTGGCATAAAAGGGGGCTCCAGAGGAGTAATGAGATGAAAATTCTTACAATTTTACAAATTTATTTAAACAAATATGATAAAAATCCATCCTCCCTGAAAATTCTCTCTGGAGCCTCCCTTGGTGACATATCGCTTATTTTTAGATCCATATAACCTACAATGGAACTGGAATCTCTAAATGTCATCTAGACTTAATTGCTATTTACTAAAAAAAGCAATTTTACTTGTTTCAAACCATTTAAATTAAGAATGAGTGGCCATTTTCATGAAAAATTTCATTTAGAGCAGAAAATAATCTTTGAAAAGTATGCAGGTGTCAATTAAATTTGATAATCAACTGTCACTTATTTGTTTACAGGAGAAAATTTAAAAATAAAATTATGTAAATAAAAATGTATGTAGGAAAAAGAGTTACAAATAAATGTTTCTTTGAATACTTCATTCTTTATGAAAGTATGTAAAAAAAATATATCTGACTGATTTTTATATGAGTAAACTAATAGAAAATGTGCTTCAAAGTGTGATACATCGGCTAGAGATGCACTAAAAACAGTTTTAACTGAATTTAAAATGTCTGTCAGCTTGAAATGTTTCAAAAATAACGATTTTACACTTACGATGTGTTGCCAACGTGCTTAAAACTAATCAGAACTGTCAAAATAATTTTTTGAAATGTTTCCAAGCGATCATAAATGTCAAATAAATCGCTCGATGTCAATACGTGTTAAATATAAATAAATATATCATAGATAACTTGTAAAGTTATTTTTACCTTAAATGTACGAGCTTTTAAACGTGTATTTCTAGATCCTACGGTAGTTCAAATCCCTACGAATTAAATTCGAACCACAAACGTCAAGTATTTGATATACAACAGACAGGGTTGTTCTTGCCATTACTTTCGTAATAAATCTATTACTTTTTTGCTTTAAATGTTACGTTATTACGTTTTTCTAAAATCTATTACTATTTATTCAAGAAAAATGCCTCATGCACAATCAATTTCTACATTTCCAGTGAGCACAATTTAAAAATATTACTATCTTTAAATCGAGCATGCTTAAACAGTTTAGATTAGGTTTGGAACGATCCATTGAAATCTGCACATGCGCCGAAATGTAAAAGAATCCGATCTTAAAATGACATTTAGTACGTTTTACTGAAATCTATTACGTTTTTTTGGTCCAAGAACAACACTGACGACAGATATCAATGTCATGCTTTGACATATGCTACAGGTAAATGTGACGCTGGCTCAAAAATCGTGTAGACGAGGGATAATTTAGTGCCGTAACGTCTACGAAATACCAAATAAATGTTAAACGGCTCAATCTAAAGAGTTGTGTACCTTAAGAAATTAGGCAAAAATATTTGTGATAGATTACATTTTAGGTACAAAACTTAGTCGGTGAATACGACAATACCGTTTAAAGATATCCTTTTTCGATGTTGATATTTTTAATTTTTAAAATAATATATATATTTTATTGTTATTAGATTTGTTGTTCGTTGTTATTTGTTTTTCGGATGCTGCGATATACTGAGAAACTGGTAAACATATCGTATATAAAATAGTGGACAAATTCCAAAGTTCGTAGACAACGCGGTGGTCTCATCACGGTTGCTAAGGACGCAGTGACGTCACGGAATGAAAAGTCGAGCTTACAGAAAATATTCTGCTGCGGTTCGTACATTAGGTTTTTAAAAAATCTAATATTTTATTAATATTTGGTGTTGATATTTTTATTTGTGGACTATACATCTGCGTTGAAGTTTTTATAAAATCGGTAATTTGGTTTTTTGAAAGACAAGCTACAAAATGGTAAGGAAAAATCATGTAATGATCTCCATCAAATTTCAAATTAATTACTTTTTATTTGAATTATAAAGAGAAATATTATTGTGTGAATGGTTTATTTTAAACATTTTGGATTAGGGTTCGACCTCCTTGCTAAATTCGGATCACACTTTGTTTATATCCCGAAATATATTGAAATATTGACAAGCCTGGAGTGAGCCGTTGTTTTGCTGTTGGCAAACAATTTTTACTTTTTACACACAAAAATCGTTAGAACAAATAAACTAAAATTAAAGACTAATGGTAAGATTTAAGAGTAATTGTTCTGCAAATATCATTCACCATTTTTAAATTAATTCCAGTTTTGTTCGCCCTACATTTAAAAGCAGACGAGATGGCTTCTTAAGAAAACATTAAAAATAACAAAGAGCAAAAAGTTTAAAGAACTTTACTAAAAGAAAATACATTTATAGGAAGTTTTTAGTAAAAAGTACATAGTTACAAAAACATTTTAAAGAAGAAAACAAGAACCTTCTAGAGTTAAGAAGAAGTTTGTAAATCATATACGAGAAGATATTGTCACTAAATTTTGCTCTCAATTAATATAAAAAATGTTTATTTTAATTAATTCCCGCCTGAGGACATGTAGAAGATCTCCGTTTCCCAGAAATTGCCGTTTTTCAACAATTGCGAGTACCCTCATAGAATAAAATATTCCTATATTTGCCGAAATCCGAATGTGCATTTTGTAGAGTCGATTTCGTACCAATTATCTACCTTTATTCGTCAAAGTACTAGAAGGACATTTTTTTATTTTTAAATTGTAAACAGTCGGCTGTAGTAGTCGTATCACCCCACTCAGGTTTATCAAAAAGCATAAATTCAATGACATCTGGGAATCACTCTCTTGATTTCCGGCCGCCGTAAGCTCTTCTCTCTTGATTGCCGACAGCCGAAAACTATTCGCCTTTCTATAGTGCCTAGTAAATACTCCGTGAGTGCCGTGATTTCGAAAAAATTCATTGAATAACCCCGTTTATCTTCTAAGGTAGGAACCGTATATTATTTTTTTTATATTGACTTTTATATAATTAGTTGGGACACCCGTACGACAAGTGAAAAATTTTGATTCATATCCAGGATATTTCATTTCATCCCTCAGTGGGAAACCGTTGGCAATTTTTATTTGAGGCTGGACATAAGCTAGACTCTGAGTGCTCTCTTTGTTAACGACTATATCCAATTTCTCTTAAAACCCACCCAGTTAACATCGAAGTGAGAGGTTCAACCTGTTTTCAATTGTTTTTATTATTTTATTGTTTTATTTTCTTTTTCGGAGATTCGATCCGTTCGCGGGTTAGAGTGCTCTCTCTCCTGATGACGTTATCTAATTTCCCAAAAAGAAATTTAAATTAATTTCCGCGCCTCACTTCATGTAAAATTTCTTTTCTTTTAATTTTTTATTATCATTCCGTTCCCCGTCCACAATTTGTTATTGAATGAAGCCAGACGACTTCTGTAAAATTAAATTCACACACGCTCTCGATCGACTCTGGGAAAATTTCAAAATATTATTTTCTACGATCGTCGCTTCCGCATAAATACCCATGTTTCTCACTAGACGAAAATTTTCGCTTCTCATCGCTCGTGGTTAAGATACGAGGGGGTTCCGATAACTTTGATTTCATTTATTTGCTTGCATTTGATTACCGTCATATTTAAATTGTTTTCAAGTGTATTAATTTATTTTTAATAAATGTTCCGTATATAGGGAGTTTCATAATTCCCGGACCGCTTGGCCTCCTATGCTAGCGAACCGTAGTTATTTCTCAATATTTAAATTGTTTTCGAGTGTATTAATTTATTTTTAATAAATGTTCCGTATACAAGGAGTTTCATAATTCCCGGACCCCTTAGCCTCCTGTGCTAGCGAACCATAATTATTCCTCAATATTTAAATAGTTTTCAATTGCAATAATTTATTTTTCATAAATTTTCCGGATATAGGGATCCGTCAATATTTAAATAATTTTCAGTTCTAATAATTTATTTTTAATAAATTTTCCGAATATAGGGTGGCATTCATATTTATTTACTGTTGTATTTTTTTTGTAAATATATATTTTATTACCTATTCCTGTGTTTCTCTTACTGCTGGTTCTTAACCGTTCTCTTTCAGGGTACCGTAGGGTACGAGATGTAAAGGAGATAAGTGTTTGATTTTTATTTATTCTAGTATAGTGGCTACCTAGCAGTGACCGCCTGGAATTATTTACCTCCACTGAGTTCACCTTGAATACACTCTGGTGTACCACAGGGTCGCAGAGCAAACTGCGATACCAAAACTGGCGCCTGAGTAACCCCTATTCGGGAATCACCTTCATAGCGCCACACAGACTCACTGATTCACTATAGGTGAACCAGAAGCCTGTCACAATATTTCAGTAGAAGGTGCTATATAAACCGGAAATGCTAACAGTAATTGATGAATTCTCTAGGTTTTTCTTTGTTTTTTCATGTATCAGCACGGCTTCATCTTAAGTAATCAAGAATTTGAGAGAATTATTCTTCATCTTCGGTACTCCCTCCTATATCCACTCTGACAATGGTACATCTTTTATTTCAATGAACGCAAATCATACTTGGATGCCACTAATAGATCTACTCCTTACAATCTTTAATGCAATGGACAAGTGGAACGGTATAA